TGATTAACACTTTTACAATTCATTGACTTGTTTCAAGCATTATGCACATTTGTGTTACCCAGAAAACTACGTCATTTCAGAAAAATAGGGTGTCCCATTTAAAAAAACCATCGTGACCTTGAAATGACCTTCAAAATTGACCTCAAGGTCAAAACTAATGGTACAATTAAATGACCCCCTCTGTCCTGGTCAATTTTTATCTAAACCATTTTTTTATAGATACCGTAATTTGGAAGATATTCGGGTCCATAGATTAAAATGACTCACCCTGTATATATGAGTAATATTTAGTTACTTACTATCTGTATTTAAAATTCTTTGCTTATTTATACTTTCCAATATTTTTCAAGAGTTTATTTGTTAGAATCGTTTTTGTGTTTTTTACCCCAAATGGAAGATCTTTGGAGCTTTCCAACAAGTGACAGTAATCATTTCATCTTTGTTTAACATTGGTGAACAACAAGAATGTAATGACTATGTTTACACGGCTCGATTTACGTCAAAGTTATAACATCGATGTTAGAAAACTGACTAATCACAATCATTTCATTCTTCAGAGGAATAGTTATGATTGACCAGTTTCATAACATCGATGTTATAACTTCGGTGCAAATTAAGCTATGTAACGTAGTCATTGATTCACTGTGTTACACTGTGTCATCTGTCTTTTGTTGGAAAGCTCCCCTTATAAAGTTCTCGAAATTAAATTATCAATGTCCATTTTAGTGTTTGAAGACTAGCACTTATAATTAGTAAGAAAAACTAAAAATTTGTTTTGGTTAATCCACTCGCACCGGTGACATATACAAATAAACCTTCTTTTACTATGTGCGGTCTAAAATAACCCATGTATATTCTTGATGGGGCTAGTTGAAAAACAGAAAACCTGCTTCTTCTGTACACATACCTTAACGAAATCTGATCCTCGTTGCTGCACTAAAACTTTCTATTTTGTTTTTTACCAAATTCCAAACATATATTTTATTTTAAGTACTAGCGTATGTTCAGTCATAAAAGAACAGATCTACGATTTTATTATGAAAATTTGATGCCAATAACCGAATGTTACAGTGTGTGAGTCCGACGGATTGTGATATTATACGGGAGTACGGCTGTGCGGTCGTGGATTGTAGTTGGGCGCGGTTGGACGACACTCCCTTCAACAGAATGAAAACGCCTCATCCTCGCGTACTGCCATTCTTAGTCGCTGCAAATCCAATAAATTATGGAAAGCCTTATCAGCTGAGCTGTGTAGAGGCTATAGCAGCTACTCTGATTATAACAGGATTTCCGAACGAGGCCGAGCTGTATCTCGGAAAATTCTCATGGGGACATTCGTTCTTAGAGCTGAACAGCGAACTATTGGAAAAGTACACTCTTTGCACAAGCAGCGAAGAAATAATTACAGCACAAGAAATGTATTTAAAGAAAGCCTGGCAAGAGAAATTAGATAGGCTTAGTAAAGATTTTTTCTAATCTCCTTTTTTCGTCCTCTATTGATGATTTTTGCTTTAATATTATTGTATATTTCTTCTTAGCGCTTCCTGATTTTCCGGAAAACAATACGGAATCCGAAGAAGAGAAGGAAGAGAAAGAAGAGAAAGATACGCATGCGGTCTTAAAAGTAACTGAGGACCTGAGCGATATGAAAATATAAAGTATAGTCATTAAAGATAGTTGACTTTTTAACGAAATTCTTGATTTTGAATTTCCAACCATTACGATTTAAAAATGTACAATAAAATAAATTATTAAAATAGCTCAATCAGAATAAATCAATAATTAAAAAAAGGGCTACGAGCCAGATACAATATAAAGAATATTTAATATTAATACACTACAGACGTTTCGACCTCGATCGGGTCATTTTCAATGTAAATAGTCGAAGTATTCGGTCAAATTACAAAAATATATTGGTTTATTATCGCATTCCCTATCGCTCGATGTGTGCAGTCCATATGTAAAAGCATCGTTTGATTGATGTGAAAGTGAACTCATCTTATTATTTTAAAATCTACAATCTTACAAATATATATATATATAATTCAAAATAATGACAATTGCGTTACAATTTAAATTAATTATCAAGTATGTATATTTTATAGTAATTTAGTACCAATTAAGTTACATACATATATATACCTCGATTTGTCGTTGTTTAGACTCAACTCAGTTATTATTTCCGTCGACAATTATTCTGCTTAAATCGCGCTTGTTACCGGTACCGACACTGTCAGGATTCATGACAGTTTTTCTACCGATCAGCTGTTTACTTCGCGTCACACGATGTACACACTCGCAACTTTCCTTTGTGCTCGCGAAGCGAAGGATATCTCGCGATGTGTGTATGTACCTATCGCTTAACGACCTGTTCAGTTGATCTAGAATAAAGCTCAGCAGCACATCGCATTGTATATCGCTCTGACTCTCTTCTTTTCGACACCTTCCGATTCCTCGTGATCGTTCGTGTACAATTCCGACCGTCACCAGCG